GTTATTCCCCAGGGATATCTGCGGAGGGGTGAGGGTGAGAAGCAGCATTGCAATCAAGGCCTGGGCAGGATCTTGACCGCAATGCCACTCCCATCATATTGCAGATCCCCTCTGCAAATGCCTCTGTCAATCCCTGTCCCTCCACTGAAAACAAGAATGGCAGGGAAAAAAATCTACCTGCAAGCCAGCTTTGCAGGCATCCAGTTAGATTCTGGGTATTTTTCAAAATTGGGTTGGGTTGGAGAAGGCTTTACCTCTACTCAGTCCACAGCCCTCTCGTGCCCCTAACTGGTTAGTTTCATAACATAACCATTAAGTATACCAGCCTGAGGCTAGCACAAATAGGTTTTCCTTGATTTCATTAGGAAAGAAGAACAGAAAAATAGCTATGAGCAAGGAATCAGAGAAAAGCCCCTATCCACATTCCTATTACTCCTCTCTCCCCCCGGTACTGTTGTGCCAACCTTTGTTTTTAGGATCTCCTGATACTCTTCTGAGTTGGCTGGATGGAACTTCAGGAAGTTTCTATCCCAATACTTCTGAAAAATGGCAGGCTGGAGTTGACTTACAACCATTTGTTTAGCAACCATTTGAAGTTACGATGGCACTGAAAAAAGTGACTTATGGCTGGCTCTCGCACTCACAGTATATCTGTCGCAGCATCCTCACAGTCACGTGATTGTGATTCAGGTGCTTAGCAACCATTGCACATTTACAACAGTTGCAGTGTCCTGCAGTCATGTGATTGCCATTTGCAACCTTCCTGAGCGGCTTCTGACAAGCAAAGTCAATGGGGAATCCAATAGGAAAGGTTGCAAGTCATGATCATGTGATATCTCATTTAATAACAGCAGTGATTCATTTAACGACTGTGGCAAAAAAGGTCATAAAATCGAGTGCAGTCACATGATGCCTCATTTAACAACCGCACTGCTTAACAACAAATTTTTAAGTCCCTATTGTGGTCGTAAGTTGAGGACTACTTATAGAGTGCTTAGATACCTTCTGTTATTCTTATGTTATTCTGGAAGCATGAAGAGAGCTTTTTACAAATATGGCACCCTCCAGCTATGTTAGGACTGCAACTTCCTGAACTGCTAGCCAGCCTGGCTTCTAGAAGCCCCAACATCTGGAGCACTGGGCTGGGGACAGGCTGATTTAAGGCCACTGCAAATTTGTATAGCAGAATTGAGAGTTGGTTGGTGGTCTTTCCCTGTTGTGGCTTGGTGTCTAGAATTCATCTGCAAGCACGAATGTTACTATCATTCATGCTAAGCTATACACCAACCATGGTTTACTGATTACATCACACTTTGTGTTGTGCCACAGACAATGATTTACAAGTTACAATGACTGAGTTCACAGAACAGGATAAGTCATATCCAAGGCTCTCTATTCCAACAATGAAAAAGTATACAGAACCTCCAAAGGAAATCCAGATTTTTTTGGTCTGCCCTCTTTCTGTGTTCTTTAGTACAACAACCCTACTCGTGAAACCATCAAATGCTGAAGCACTGTATGACAACATTGTTTGGAAAGTATCTCCAGTTGGCAAAAATCAGATTTTCATACAAAGTGGCCTAAGTAACAAAGAATCGTTCATGCCTAAATATAAAGCTCATGTGGGGTATTAACAAAGGGTGAAAATATTTTCCTTATAATATTCATGGTCATTCATTTCAATTATTTTTATACTGTCCGGTCCAGAGATTTCCATGCATGACATCTTTGGCCATCTCATTTCAACTGTTAGAAAAAGAAAAGTTACCATCACCCAGTAACCTTATACATGACATGAGCCAGGATCCTTCCTCCCCATAGTAAATCATCATAGCATTTGCTTTTTGCGACATATTTATTAAAGTGCAAAATCATTTGTTAAATTGTTTCTACTAATAGCCTCTCTGCAGTTACTAGAGAGCCTGAAGGTCATGGGGTAAAAACTGATAGGGAAATCATTAGCAGTTAGAACTAATGCATAACAGTCAGCTCATAGAAATTCACCCTTCATGTTTTGCAAAAATTAGATGCTAGAAGAAAAGCTTCTATCTGCCTTATTTTAGATTAGGAATAGGCAACCAGTACTCTCCAGATATTTTGGAGTTCGATTTTCATTAGCCCCAATCACCACAGGTGGGCCATGTGTGTGCGTGTTTGTGCGCACATGCGCGCCTTCGAGTTAATGTTTATTCCTGGTGACAGGGTAAGTCCCTGCAGTTTTCTTAGTAAGATTTCAGAAGTGGTTTGCCATTTCCTTCTTCCTAGGGCAGAGAGAGAGCGACTGACCCAAAGTCACCCAGCTCACTTTGTGGCAAAGGCAGCACTGAAACTCACAGTCTCCCAGTTTGTAGCCTGATGCCTTAACCACTACACCAAACTGGCTCTCATGTATACAGCATATATAGATATAAAGATATAGAGATTTATTGCAAGATAAAAATAGAGAGATGAACCATATATTTCAGTGACTTGCAGCAATAAGTGTAAAACACTCTCAGTTCACTAAAAAGTTTCACAATAAAATAATTAACTTTTCTATATAATTAATTAACTTCACACATTTTCTATAACCAAAATTTAAATATACATCACTCTTATTTGTGAAAAAATAATCATTTTAAAAATGGGCAAAGCTATTGGGCTACTTATGCAGATATGCAGATGTAGTCCAAAGATCATATCAATGTGTTTGAGAATGTTCAAAGTTCCACCAGAGAATTAAAACCAAAAGTCTCCAGGCACTTACTTTCTGACACATTTGGGAATCTATAATATCGAAGATAAATTCTTGATCCTTAACTCATAGTTCAAAGCCTTGGATGGTTGTTTCTGCATTTGTTTTGACCATTAGATACTAAGACTCTGAACAGATGACATTGCTTTCAGAGGTCTCTGATGAGAAACCAGGAACATTAAAGGGAGCACAGTGGGGCAAAGCCAACACATCTTGAACCATTCTCATAAAGATACATTCCTTAGATGACTTCTCAGGGGAAAGGGAATGCAGACATTGCATGTCATTAAATTAAAATTAGGCTCAATATGCTTTCAGCTATACGTTTGCTTTATTAAGTAACTTCTTGTGAAAGCTCTAGCTTCCTAGTAAATCTGGATTTACAAATAAGGAGCCATAAAGGCATTCAAGGTATTTTAGAAAAAATAAAATCTCATAATGCCATAAAGCGGAGTCAACTGACAGCAGCGGAGAAAACCAGGTCACTCATCAAAAACCATTAACAAACCCAAAATTGCTTCTAAGTGAAAATGGGATTCAGTCAAGTTATGAAGGCACAAACTGAGTTTACAGACAGACAGTTAGGTTTCAGTTCAGCCACAGCACAAAGAATCATTCAGCAATGCTTTTATTTGCTGGAATACAGCCAGGGAAACTGATCACAATATAGTAGTACAATTATCATGCAGATATAAAGTACAGAAGCAACATGATCAGCACAAGAGCCAAGCACTAGCATAAACATCCTGTATGACTAAGATTCAATAAATCAATAAAATTCAATAATTCCGTAATTGGCAATTAAATATTAAATAAAGACACAGGACTATTTCTTTTATATGTGGAACAACCATTCATGTATTGCAGCAAAAGACGTGTATGTTTGGGCAGGGGGAGATGTTCAGAGAAATCAATATAAAACTGGTACCATGGGTACAACAGAATCCAAAGAAAGTCAGTTTTCTAATAAAGAAACCTTGTTAGAAATGAGCCAGCTGGATCAAGAACTTGAAGAGGAGAAAACTGGTCATCGTTTTAGGTTGACTTCAGCAACAGCCTCTAAATGTGGCTAATTATCTGTCTTTTTTTAACACTCCCATTCATAATACATGAATGTCTAATGTCAACCAACTGCAACATTTATCTTTCACAAAATATGTCACAAGGTAAGAAGGGACCTTGAGATCATTCAATCCCTCCCCATCTTGAAAGTGAGCCTCTGTGCAGAATCTCATTCACCCATCTCCATAACTGTTTTAAATACTTTATCAAGATGCTGCAACACAGAGCGGGTCAAGAAGATATCCTTTTGTTCCTATAACTCTGATGCTCAAGTTATGAATATTGGCACTTCTACAGCTAAAAGGGTCCTGCCTATGTTGGAGGACGGGGGGGGGGGGGGGGGGGGGGGGGGGGGGG